AATAATGTAAATTCTGCCACTCAGCCTGTCTGTTCATTATGATATCCTGCTTTTATTCTTTACTGCTTACAATCAATCACTCAGGTGCATTATCAGTATTGTTAAACTCTGCAATATCTATACTTTAATCAGTCACTAATGTAAAATAAGCCATTCAGTCTTTGTCGTTATTATATTCTGCTTCTTTATGATGCTTCTTTATTATATTGCTTTGTGTTTTCATACTGTTTGCTTATTTTCCTGCTCTTGTGTTGTACAGTTTACTTATTTTATGTACTTTAATTTTTCTTTTGCACTTTCCCTTTGCTGCTGTAATGCTGCAAATTTCCCTGCTGTGGGATGAATTAAGGATTATCTTATTTAAAAATTAAAAAATATATCCATTTATTAGCATAAAAGTATAGCCGAGGCTACTTTAAGTACCAAAAGTAAAAGTACTGATTATGCAGAACGGCCCCTCCCAGAATAACACGCACTATAAATATTATATTATTGGATTATATTAATGGTGCATTTATGTGCACATGACTTGGTAAGGATGAGGGGGGGGGGGGGGGGGGGGGTTCGGTTTGGTGGAAATTGTATTTACATTATGTACTAATGGGTAATAACTGTTAATAAAGTCTTAATTTACAATGACTGATCATGATTTATTTGAAATTATCACTTAAATGTAATCTTTATATATTGCAGGCTAGCTTAATCCATAATAAAACATTGTATTTGATTTATATTTTGTATTAATAATCTGCAAAGTAACTAACTGAAGTTATCAGATAAATGTTGAGGAGTAAAAAGAACAATATTTGCCTCTGCGTGGAGCAGAAGTATAAAGTAGCAGAAAATTGAAATACTCAGGTCCAGTACAAGTACTATAAAACTGTGCTCAAATACAGTTCCTGAGTCCAAACACCTTGGGGAAGGAGGAAGACAGGTGGAGGTAAGTTTGTGCTCACAAAGAAACTACTATTAATACAAAAACAGTTTGCTCATGCGGAGTCTCTCTTTATCCTTTAAACTACACAATTTACTGCTGCAATGAATTATTAATCGATTCATATTCTACTTATATTCACAGGTGGACACCAAGGTGAAACAGCCTGGCGTCCTTCCCGAGAACCATGTGCTCTGCAAACTGCAACACAAAGTAACAGTACTAAATACACATGAAATCAATTAACTCAATAAACCTTTTTAAAAAACTGTGTTTCATTTAATTTAATACATGCTGAATGTGTGTTTTCAAATTATTTACAATTTACCATAATAATTTATCATTTCATTTATCCTCTTATAAAGATAAATACAACTTGACAGACTATGAAAAAGACAGTTGCATGCAAACACCAAGTGATGTCAGCTCTGTTACATACATCCCATCTGTGCAGTAACACATCGCTTATCATGATAATTTCCAGTCTCTTCCAGTCTTCCTGAAACACCTATTGGTATTGACTTTTTTCCTAAAGTTGAAGCACAGTGTTTTTACAGCAGGACCAGTGAGCGTGTCGTTTTCTTAAGTGCCTCAGTTCAAACAACTCATTTCACTCTAAGTTGAAATGACGTGGAACAATGTGCCTTCTTTAAATGATGTGTTGCAGCGACAACATAATGTCTCCAAACATGAGCTGAAACCTGTTTAAAAGAACCACAACAGTCCAAGTCAGTATCCAAGGTGGAAAGCTGCAGCACTGACTCTAAATTTTGCTCATAATTTAACTCATAACTGCTCATAAGACTAAAATAGCAGAAACTGAGACGTAATGCATCTTCTAAATATGACCTTCCCGACTTTCATCTCAGGTTCATATCTGCTACAGTCTCTCATTTACATATTTTTCCAAATTCACCTGAAGCCCCATGTGCCCATTTGGTTATAGCTCATTTCATTACACCATGCAAATGATTTTGCAGTAACCTGATATGTGCACAATCACATTAAAGCCTCGCATGTCTGCAGTAATCGTTAGCTTCATTTAACTGTCGGTTCATGTAATTCAGTTATATTACCAGACTGATTGATGTGAGGAGTGTGCACTGCTTCAACACAAAGCAATACAAAGTAAATCAGAGGTGATGTTCTCTGTAATGGTGCTTTGACGAGGAGGTTTCATGTCTCTGCACGTTTTAAGACCGTGGTTCAACAAAGAAAAACACTACTGACTTGCAGGTATGTAAAGTGCATACCTGACACATTCACAAATCTAAGACAGTATGGAAAACTATGGGGAAATAAGCAGAAATGTAAATCATGCATATTAAATGAACCAAATGCATTTATTGTCCCTCTCCTTAAACAACTTCCAGGAGTTCCAGCTGCAAAGTGGTGCTACAGGAATCTATCTATTACTAAATATAATATGACTATTTTATATTATGTAGGACTTTCATTTTGACTCTGCAGTAGAAGAAGTACTCGGGTCTTCCACTTACGTAAAGTAAAAATACCATAATGAAAAAGACTCTGTTACAAGTCCTGCACTATGCCAATGTCAAGGATCTTTCAGATTCTATGGAGGACTGAGTCCTTCTGTCAGGGAAATTTCAAGGATGCATGTGTGTACCCACAATTCTTTGCACACGATTTGTTTGAAGTGAAGACAGGGCCTCTTCAATAAAATCAGCGTCAGTGGAGCTCGGCAGGATTTAGATAAATACGTCATTAATTTGGATTAATATCTCAAGGAGTTTTATCATACAAGCATGTAAAAAAAACTAACAGAAACTTCCTAATTTACACTTTCCAATGTGTCCACTGCTGAATAATGAGCTTTTTAAAATAATGTGATTAAGATAGGCTAAAATTTAAAAGTTTTTAAATTAAACATGTACAACAGTGATGGCTACTGTAGAAACATGGTGGTGCAACATGGCAGACTCTGTGGATGACGGCCCACTTCCTGTGTAGATATAAACAATTCATTCTAAGGTAACAAACACACAACAATTATTATTTTCAGGTAAAACAATATAGGTGATGTAATAAGAAAATATTCTTATTATAGTCTATTCCATTCCTGCCAGTATATCACCCTATCATAACACACTGGACCTTTAAACCATAGTATTGTGAATCTTTAAAGTAACTTGTAACTAATGTTGTCAAATAAATGTAGTGGAGTAGAAGAATAAAGAGCATAAAACGGAAACACTAAAGGGAAGTACCTCAAAAGTAGCCTTCTAGGTTCCTACCGCCCACCCACCTAACGTTAGCTTCTTACACTTACCTGCTGTCTGGCTGTCAAGTTATCTGATGTCACGTGAACCCCGAAACTCGCTGTTTCGTTATCATGTCAAAACAACAAAAGCTTTCCGGTGTCCACGCAACTACCACGATACTACTGAGAAGAGTGGGCGTGGAGAGAAAGACGTGAAATCAGCGGAAGGAGAGCTCATTAAGTTAGCTGTTAGCTGTTAGCAGCTAGCTATCGTTACCTCTATAAGCAGCCGTTGGCCGCAACCAACTGCTCGCCGCGGTTGCATTGATTTACATTATGAAGCGTTCACGCTCTATTAAGTAAAAATGAGTATTGTGTGGAGGTGAATCGTAACATTCTCATGAGGTGTTCGATGTAATCATGTAAAATGTAGCTTTTGACGAGAAACTTGAATGAGTCAAGCTGTTGGAAGGATATTTTTTGATGTTTTCACAGCACTATAAAACGGATCTTAGAGAGGGAATAATGATGTATCATATATACAGTAAAAAGGCTTTTTGCTTATTTTTTTAAAGATGTTTTTCATGTAAAGGAAGGTTACATTAAAGGTTGTTTTATGAATGTGTATTATTGAATTTGTGCTCATTCAAAGGTATTGTATTGAATGACTTATTGAGTTATGACCCCCTTCTTTTTTTTTTTGCAGCGTAGACTTTTGTGTTTCCTGCTACAAAAGAAGAATGAATAACTACAAAAAAACTATTGGCGAAATTGTGATTTTAAACATTGGCATCGGTATTGGCCCAGAATTTTAAAATCAGTGCATCCCTAGTTCAATTAGAAACTTAATTTATACATTTTTATTATTATTTTTACAATGTTGTATATTATTCTTCTGAACAACTTTTTTTTTATTGATTATTGATTTATAACACATGCACAACATGTTAATGAAAGCAAATTAGCACGTATTATTATCTTGTTTTTTATTAGGTAGGTAGTTTATGTGCATTTTGTTAAATAGTATGCAATACTGTTGGGCTGCAGGGGGTATGGGACTCGCCCTAATCCTGCTTTCAGCACCAAATGTGTTAGGGCCAGCACTGGGTGTGGCTAATTTCAGTTACTTTACATACTTGCTGGGTAGCTTGTGACTCTCCACCCTGGGATCAAGTCTTATCTTAACCTATAACAACATCTTCAGATTGTTTATTGTTTATTCTTTGCATGTTTTAGGATACTAGTCACAGTGGAGTGGAAATATAAAGTATGGACGTCAAACAGTGTTAACTTGAGTAAATAGACTCACGTGCCAGCAACAGAGCTCGCAAGCTGCAGCAGGAGAAAGCCTCGCGTGCACCACATCAGAGGAATGAAGGGTTTAAGTGCGCACGAGACAAATACCAGGTCTTTATTTTGACACATTTCAAAGCTGGATATGAATTTATATCGTTTTAATTAATTCATGGGCTCACTGAGATCATTCAATGAATGAATTAGACATATATGAAGCCGTTTGCTCCATGCATGAGGTGAGAGGAATAATCATTAATTAATAAGCACCATTTAGAAAGTGGGTCACTTTGGACATTGCAGCTACATCCTACAATAAAATACCATGTGCACGAGCTGTGTCAAACCCTGAGGAGCGGAAGTATATTTGGTCTCTCCATGCTATCTGTTGCAGAGTACCTGTCAGTGAGCAGGTTCACTTTTCTTCCCGAGAGCTGCAGTCTCACTTTGAAACATACCTGAGCTGAGTAGGCTACAACGGTGTGGATCCTCCCTCTCTGGTCGGGCTACACCCCTCCAACCCGGCACCCATTTAGTTGAAACCATTCTCATTCAGTTCACGGTCTCACACAAAGTTTAGAGGATGAGAGGGAAGCAGAGCAGAGAGCAGAGGCAAACACAGCGTGGCTCGGTGTGAATACGGAGGGAAACGACACAGTGTGATTTATGGTGAGTGTGTTTTGGTTGATTAGATAGATACATAGATAGATAGATAGATAGATAGACTCTTTTCAGGAATGTTTTAAAAAATGATAAGCAACCCACCTTCTTACCGTAAATTCCTAGTTTTGTGCTGTCGATGCAAAGAGTTAAAAGATTTATGAAGAAATGACAATTAAATACATTATCTGCTTTGACATTTTGGCTTTAAGCTGACAGGTTGATGTTAAATGGTCTGGTATCCATCTGGTCACATGGGAATCACACTAGAGCTCTCACTTCAACATCTCTTAGCATCAGGTGCTCAAGGTTACAGCTGTGGCATCATGCAGGCTTTGCTATTTCAGGATGATAAAAAAAAATAAAAAAAAAATAAAGGAAAATAAAATTTAAAAATCAACCTGAATACCCAACCAATGCCATTTCAAATCCTGTAGAGATTTACAGGAAAAAGTCTGGGGGAAAACAGGACCAGGCCATATGAAATTATGTTTAAATACTGAGAGTCATTCTAATCAACAGTGACACCACTGTTATTGTTGTGCCAGTAATTAGGATAACACTACAGGACAAGTGGGGGGAAAAAAGCACATAATACACAAGATGTGGGTGTAAATCAGGAGCAGTTTATTATGTGAAACTGGGACATTTTACAGTTGCTTTTATACAGTGTATAAGTGAAAATAATAAGAAATTAAATAAGAAGTTTGCAATAAAATACATTATGCTACAATATAAAACAAAATATATACATAAATATAAAAATATAAGATGTGATGAAAACAAGAATATAAAATAAACATGGCAGGGATTGTGCAGGAGAGGTAAGAAACTCAAAGGGGCTTATGATGAAAACTTACCCTCCAGAATTTCAAATCTATCCTATTACAAATAATATTTCTCTCCTAAACATGAGAGTATAATAGACACATGCACATAACACATGAGCATAACTAATACATTAACAGTGTTTTTTCATATTAGATTCAAATGAGACTGATGATGAACAGAAGAGGGAAGTCAAAAGTAAGGTTGAAAGCAAAACTTGACGGCAAAGCAATTTCTGTAAATCAGGAAAGTCACAGCAGAGCAGCACGATCCTCATTCCAAGAAGAAGCAGAGTATCGACTACACGCATGAGGGTACGCATCAGGGAGAGAGAGAGTGTGCTATGATAGTTTTTACTATCCCCTTCATGTGTTTATCATTTCATAAGCATCAATCATTTAAGAAACCTTGACTGGGTATTTTATCTCTCATCAGTTTTATTGCAACAGTGCACCCGCTACATTTTTGCACCTAATTACAGTTTACATTGCCAAAGCAGCATAAATAGATAACTGAAAAGTGTGTGAGCAGATTGGCGAGGTGTGTCTCCGTGTTATCGTTTAATCTGCCCAACAATGCAGGTACCACTGTGTGCTGTGCCTTTATTTATGTTACCTTATCCACTGCATTAAAGTATACCCTAATACATGCTGCATGTAGGCTATTAGGTGCGCTTGTGTGTGAGTTGGCAAATGAGACTGACATTGTTAGATAAATAAACAGTGATGTCCTCCAGCTAGACAGAGACATAAAAAAGCCTCTGTTGTAAGGCACTCAACTGTGAAAAGGTATTTAATTGTTCTCTGATTGCAAGTGGGCCATTTTTAGTTTACTTTCTTTTGTCATCTTGTCACATGTTGACAGTGCGGTTGCTCTCACATTGTTATTACCCAACATTCGTCTCAGGTTTAAAACTTCCTTGTCAAGGCTCAGTTTGCTCAGTGAAACAAGGCGTCTGCGTTTCACGCTGGCGACATTAACACCTGTCCAAACTTGCACACGTCAGATGATAATCTCCTAATTCTTTTTCAGAAATATATTACTTAATGCTCGGGTGTGATTTTATTCCAAGAGTTAGTTTAAGAGTGTTAGTCGTAGTTTTAGCTGCTTGAGCTATGCAAAACTTGTGCCCTAACCTTGAACTTGCTAAATGCCCTGAAGGCTTTGACTGTGGAAACAAAATGAACAATCCAGGTGAGAAGTTTAGCTGGCAAAACCCCCAAGTCAAATCAAGTTTGACAAGAAACTGGTGGTTGGAGAAAAGTCCTTTGACAACAGTCACCTTTATTGCTCAATGTGCCTCTTTGGTGGGGGACAAATAACGTGGGTAAATTCCCACGTCCCATCTGGAAGTCTGTATTGAAACCTGGCGCAGCTGCAAATTTATATGCCCCAGCATGTTTACTAAAGGCCCTGTGTGCCCCATTCTCAGGCTACTGCAACAACAAATTGTGAGCAATCCAAACCTCTTTAAACTATTAAGTCCTTATGCATGTCAAAATAGTGTCTTTAACTCCATCAGTATGTAAACTGTTTATTCTTTACTTACACACAGCTTGTTTCCTCCACCCCCTCTCTGTGCATGGATGTGCCTGTCACTGAGGCTGTTTGTGCTGCAAATGCACCAATAGAGTGACTTCACTCTCAGGCCGCTCTGTTCACTCTTCTCAATACCCTGTGGTGTGAGCCATTGTAAGTGCTGCCAGTGGCTGTACCCCCCTTTTGCACACAGGCTCCATTGAGAGGGTTATTGAGCAGGGATTGCCCTAATACCCCCTCCCTCATTTGCTTTCTGCCACAGTCGTCTTTTTTTTAATTCTCTCCTACAGGTTTAGAGAGGTGAATGAGGTCAGGCATCCCCTCAGTGTTCTGAGAAAGAGCTATCTGGGCTTCCTTCTTCCTCCTGCGGGCCGTCCTGTATCACGTGTCCAGACTGCATTCAACAGGATCTACACGTCCTACACTGTGAATGAGGAGAAGTGATGCCTCAAGATAGCTGTTGCAGATTTTGCAGCAGGGGCTTATATAGCTGCAACTGGAAGCACCGAAGTGAAACTAATAATAGGAGAAAAGTGAGTGTTTTTTGGCCACATTATATATATATATATAGGTATATATGTATATATATATATATGTGTGTGTATCCTGTTCACGTCCCGTAAGATTCTAAAGCCAAACCCTGTACTTTTTTTCCTAAACCAAACCACACGCTTTTGTTGCCTAAACCCAACCGTGTGTGTGTGTGAGTGTGTGTGTGTGTGTTGTTGGAGGAAAAAAAAGCCTCAATTCACGTTGTTGTACTGACACAGTGCGTTTATTTTGGAAGAGACTGTATGTAAACGGTAAATTTCCTGTGAAAACGGAAGTGTATTTTGAAAGAAGACAATGCATGCAACAGACAGAACTTGACACAATGCTCCAGAACGACAACAACCAATGCACCTAGGGAACCTCTCACATGACCATGACCATGACCAAACATCGATATGTGACGAGGTCGGCGTGAGAATGTGTTGTGCATACAGTAGATGTCAGTCAGCACGCCCCCCAGTTTGGAGAAGCAGGCTGGAGTTTGACGCTGAAGCTAAGCAATGTACTGCTGTGGATGGAGGCAGCAACAAAACATATTTTAGCCACCTAAAAAAAGTCCCACATAAACAAGGCAATATCATATTTAAAGTGTAAGCTTTATCTGCACTACTTTACCTTTCCATCAGAGAGCCTGACACTATGGTGAAGTGATTTACGGTTTCAGTTCCCCATCTATACGCTCATCAAAGCCACCAGACTCCATAGAGAAAAACAGTAATTTTAGCTTCCTGAAGAGGGGAGCTGCTGTTCCACCATTGCCTTGATCAGTAAGTTAGTTTGTGTTAAATTGTGACTTTGGTGAATCTGAACTAACACTTTTAAGCGCCGAAGTCACACAATAACACTAACTAACTGACTGTAGAAGGCAGTGGTAGACCAGCAGCTCCTGTGTTCAGCTGTGTTAAATTCCTGTTTTTCTCAGTGGAATCTGACTTTGAAGAGAACGACAAAGCAGCTTCATCAGCCTCTCAATATAGCACACTCAAACTTCAACTGATTTTCTTAGGTGGCTAAAAGAGGTTTTGTTGCTGAACCCTCCACAGCAGTACATTGATACATGTAGCTTCCATGTTGGACTGCAGCCTGTTTCTCCAAACTGGCAGCGCACAGACAGACATCTACTGTTTGTAATATACTGTCTATGGATAAGTATCTCATACATACCCACTTCAGAAAATCTGAACTATCCCTTTAATCTGCAAAGTAACTAGTAACTAAAGCTGTCAAATAAATGTAGCAGAGTAAAAAGTATAATACATTTCTTTTTGACTAAAGTGGAGTAAAAGTAGTATGAAACACTGAAGAACAATGTACTTAGTTACTTCCCACCACTGCCATCAGGGAGTTAAGATAAGTTTTAGATGTTAGTTTCCCTCAGTGCTGCTCTGTACCGCACAGTAGTGTGTGACGTTTATGAAATAACTGCTCTAACTGACTTAATCTATTTCAGGTTCCTTCCACTTCAACGGATCATAACCTTTACAAATCCCTGTAAAGAGGGATTAACATTCCATCAGACTGGATTCAGAAATCTAAAATATTGATGATGAACAGTGCTGTTATGAAACTCCCGTGCCTTAAATGCATCTTAAATTAAAGCGTTCACACACTTTCAGAAGAGATGAGGTGTGCAAATGAGATGATGATGATGAAATGTGTGTGCCAAGAACAATAAGTAAACTCACAACAGGCCTTAACAGGTTTGTTTTGGATCTATCTGGAACAGGATTATAAAAAAAAAGGGGGGGGGGGGGGGGGCTATAATTCTGAACAAGTATGAGAGGGTGGAGGTGTGCTGTTGATGGTGCAAGACCATGAAGAGCCTGTTTGTGGTGAGTTGTCACAACACACACTGCGGGGCGCAAAACCAAGTATGAAAAATTTTGGAATGGTTCCATCATCTTTTCAGATCAAATCCCCTTTGGAATTCATGCACACACACACTTTCACTGATCTTTACTACTACTAATTATTACTAGTGTCGAAAACTTAAAAAAAAAAAGAATATTATCTTACATATTGTTTGCTTTTTAGTGTGCATGCTGCTGGTTCTCAGTGGTCACTCTGGTGTCCCTGCTCTCCCTGTGCTGGCTCTACATCTGTCTGGTTACTTTTAATGACCAAGAGGAAGTTAACTGGTGAGTGATCACAAACACACTGACAAACCACCCACATTGAATCTGACACAAAAGAGAATCCTCTCTTTTCTTTCCTTGTCTTCTCCTCCTTTATTGGTGACCTTTATTCTGCTAACCCTGTGCTGCCCTCCTTTGTTCCATTATCAGGAAGGGCTTCGCAAAACTGAAGCGATGGGTGAACTGGTTCATGGTGCTCGTCGTCATTTCGGCAGTGATAACCAGCTACTGTGTCCTGCTGCTGGTGAGAACATAGTGTTGTTACTATGGTGTTCGTTGAAGTGACGATGGAGTGATTGTAGAAGATTGTACCTGAATGTCACGGGAGTGGTTAATTACTGGGACAAGACTGAATGTTTAAAAAAGAAGCATAAAAAGCTGTTGTTTAGCCTTGCAGCACCAGATATTATGGAAACTTCAAAAAGATGTTTGTTTTTAATGAAGTATTCTTCAGCCATACAGTAAGAACTCAACATTATAATTTCATGTTCTATAATCTAACATGTTTCATTACAGCTCTTTGCACTCTTCCAAGTTGCCTTAAGGGAACCGCTCAACTTACACTGGCTGCACAAGGTATTGTGTACATTAAAGGTGGAGTCAGTGACTCCTGAGATAGATTGTTGATATTTGAACTCAACACCCAACAAAGACACCCCTCCCGTCAGTGTTCCTTCAGAAACTTCCAAGCTTTCTCTTTACAGTGAACTCACTCCAAGCAGCAGCCAAGTGCAGCTTGCTGGTATACTTATATTTTCTGCAGTCACGTCACAGAAGTCACAGGAGCCTGTCTAATGATTGGAGTATTCACTGCTGAAAGATAAACTATCCCCAACTTTTAGTTTGGCTAAACTGTGACACAGTATTAAACTTACTTCAGAGTGCTAGCAGAGGTTTGAAGAGGAGTTTTAAAAAGCAGAGATCTGTACTTCTTGAAAAGCAGAGCCAGCACTTTGTCATGTAACTGTTGTCTTTTACAGTCTAAAAAGTGTGGCCAGATTTGGTCAGGGATTGTTCCTAGAAGCTGCCTCTTGTTTTGGATTTTGCTCCGTCATCATCGTATCATGGTCAGATGACAGGTGGTGCTTCTTGTACGAGCACAAATGCCCCCTTTGTTGATTGGCTGGAATGGTGTTGTGTAGCTCAGATTGAGCCACTTTACTCACTACACATTTACACATTCAGGGCACACACACAGATTGGACAGCTAGCAGGATGCAAGGGTATATTCGCTAAATTTGACACACTGTGTATGGGATTACTAGAATCACTGACTGTACCTTTAACTGTCCCACATATATTTTTTGCAAATATGCATCATCTGGGGTTGTTCAAATTGTTGGATTGTTGCTCACATTTATTTTTTCTCTGCATAGATCTTCTTATTTTTTGGTGCGTTATTCATTGCTCTCGGGATCACAGGAATTAGTCTCCAGTGGCGACAAGAATGGCCAACGGTTTATCTCTCACTCCAGGTACGATGAGGGTCTCGTGTCAAGGATCAGAGGGTTTGTAGGAATGATACTGAGTGTAAATGTCTGGGTTGTTTTTTTATACATGTATATCTATGTACATCATGTGTTTCTGACACATGTGTCGGCCTCTCGTCAGGCCACAGCTCCTTTCTTGCAGTTTGGTGCTGTTGGGGCGTTGACTCTGCTGAGCTTGTTCGTCTTCCAGGGCTTCCGTGTGGCCAAGGGAAAATGTATGTCGCAGACGTCATTTAAGAGCACACACTGGCATGAGTCACATGTAACACAGAAAAAATGTATTTGAACAAAAGTTCTGTAATTTGCATGTTGCACAGAAATTTTCACGTGTCAATACCTGCAAAGAAAAAAGGATCCAAGGACTTGAAACGCACAAATGCTATTCGTGATACTCCCAGAGAACAAACGATGTTCTTTATTTACTCACACTTCTAAAGGGACTTGTGTACAGGTCCTCTGTTTAGACTCACAGCAGTGTAAACAGCTGAAGAGTGTTATTTTATTGTTCGATTCTTGTTCTCACCAGGGTCTAAGTTCCTGATCGCAGTGATGTTTGTAGCTGTGTCCACCGCCATCTTCCTGTGTCCCCTGATCATCCAGTCTCCTTGTTTGATAGAGTGGAGCAAGTTACCTGAAAAACCAAAGCTCATTGGTCACAGAGGCACACCGATGGTGAGCATCCTGTTTTACTTGACAACACCCTAAAGGTACACATGGTCCACCTCGCATTGTGTTGCAAATCTTTTCAACTTCTTTTTTCAACTTTCTTTTCAACTTTGACTTTTGTCTCGCTGCCAGGTAAAACAGAACACACAGAGACTTAGGCACACAGACTAAGGTACATAAAACACAATAAAATACATGAAACATTAACACATCAAGTCACCACAAGACACCCAGAGTATTAGCCGTGAAACTAATGATTTGCTGAGTCATCAAGAGTATTTCGCAATTTGATGGCCTGAGGAATAAAAGAATGATTCACCCTGTTTGACCTCTTTGGTAGTCCAAACCTTTAGCCTTTGAAATTACTTCCTTATGGAAAATGTGAGACAGATCAGGCAGTTTAACATGAATGACCTTACAGTACACCTTTTAAAAGAGCTGTTAGGGTTGACACACAGCATTTATAATAGAGGCTAGTAGTGCATGTAGACAAAGGAGGAAAGTTTAATGATCATTTAAAGGGACAGTTTGACATTTGGAGAAATCTACTATTTGCTTTGTTTAGATAAGAAGATCAACGCAACTCTGAAGGGAAATTACTGCTCCCCAACTCAAACAGAAACTTAACATGTCTTTATGTTTCAATTTTCAATGTAATGTTGTCATAACACTGTGGTTAACATGTGGTTGGGCTTAGGAAAGTATTGTTTTGGTTTAAAATACAGAATACAACGGTAAATGTCCAAAACTCTCGTTAAACAAGACTCGCTTTTGTCACTACAAACAAGTCTGGAAATGTCCCAAACTCTCGTCAAAAAACACTCACTGAATATGGCTGAAAATGTCCCAAACGCTTGCTAAACAAGACCTGCTTTTGTCGCTACAAACATGACTGAAATACCTCAAACTCATTAAAAAACACATGCTTTTGTTACTACAAACACAGCTGAAAATTTCCCAACCTCTCATTAAAAACACTCGCTTTTGTCGCTACAAACATGGCTGGAAATGTCCCAAACCTCCGTTAAACAAGGCTCACTTTTGTTGCTACAAACATGGCAAAAAAATCCCAAACTCTTATTAAATAACACATGCATTTGTCACTATAAACACAGCTGAAAATGTCCCAAACTCTCATCAAAAAACACCCACTTTTGTCCCTACAAACACAGCTGAAAATTTCCTAACCTCTCATTAAAAAATACCCACTTTTGTCGCCACCAACAAGGCTGGAAATGTCCCAAACTCTTGTTAAAAAAACACTTACTTTTGTCACCACCAGCAAGGCTGAAAATGTCCCAAACTCTCATTAAAAACACCCACTTTTATCACTACAAACAAGGCTGGAAATGTCCCAAACTCTCATTAAAAACACCCACTTTTGTCACTACCAACAAAGCTGGAAATGTCCCAAACTCTTGTTAAAAAAGACCTGCTTTTGTCACTACAAACACAGCTGAAAATTTCCCAACCTCTCATTAAAAAACACTCACTTTTGTCGCCACCAACAAGGCTGGAAATGCTCAAACTCTCATTAAAAACACCCGCTTTTGTCACTACCAACAAAGCTGGAAATGTCCCAAACTCTTGTTAAAAAAGACCAGCTTTTGTCACTACACACATTGATGAAAATACCTCAAACTCTGTCAAAAAACATTCACTTTTGTCCTACAAATATGTTGGGAAATGTCTTCTGGTTAAACAAGGCCCAAGCTCTTGTTAAAACCACCTGCTTTATTCACTACAACTGGAACTGTCCTGAATTCTTGTTAAACAAGACCTGGTTTTGTTGCTACAATCACATCTGAACATGTCCCAAACTGTCATTAAAAAAGACATGCCTGGTCTTGAACAATGGTCTGCTGCTGGCAGCTGTGTTGCCTAGGTGTCACACCATCCATCGTCCCTTCCTGTTCCTAATGACAAACTCATATACCTGTAATCTGAACTACATTATACTGTGCGTATGAAATGTAACCTATCCATGGTTTGCAGAAAGGTACAATGCCAACATTTTATTGTGGTGATGATGGCTGTGGTCCCAGTTAATAACAGTCTGGTACATAACCCCCATAGAATCACAATTTGTTGTTTTTAAACTCATAGTTTGAACAGACAAACAAGATTCAACATGATAAGCCTTACAGGTGCAGGCAAATGTGTTTCAGACTGAACCAGACTGGCTGTTTCCTCTTCCCTCAGTCTTGCAAAGCTAAACTAATCCTCTGCTGGCTGTAGCTTTATATTTAACGGACAGGTGTCAATCTTCTTGTCTAGCTGTTGGCAAGAAAAATTAACCGTAAACAAGTGTATTTCCCAAAATGTCAAATTATTCCTTTATTTTGTAAAAAGAAAAAGGCACTGCTATAATCCATGCAAATCCCGTCATTCAGAGCATGTCATACAATACATAAGACTAAGTTTACAACATATTACATTGTGTTTACTGTTGTAATTTGTTAAATGACCATGCATTTCCATGTGTTGACATTACAGCATGCCTAGCTCAGGTGTGAACAAAATGTCCAGTCATGTAAGAGCCCCATATGCTACTCTGTCCTTGTTAGTTTGCTGTGCTCAATAAGCTCAATTTAACCCTGAGTACATGGAGTTGTGTGTGTTCACACAGCTTTAGGGTAGTTTGTGAGTGTGTCTCACCCATCTGTCCTCACTGTGTTCAGCTGGCCCCTGAGAACACCATGATGTCATTCAACAGGAGCATCGCGTGTGGCGTGACAGCCTTCGAGACAGACGTACAGGTCAGGTACGGTGAATTTCATGGATTACAGTGATTTCTACAGACCCAGAGAACTAACTGATGATAGTTAAATGTTGCTTGCCTCTCAAATTATCCGTTCCTGCATAGACCACATTGGCACAGACAGGTACTTTGTGGAATGTCTTAGGCTACGCCCCTTTTTGGGGGACTGAAAAGCAAAGATCCTATAGATGTCAATGCAATTTGATGTGTTTGAAGTATAATTTTGACAAGTTTGTATGCATTATTTCTTGTTAAACAAACCTTTGTTTTATAGACATGTCAAATAATTGGTTTGCAACCTTGCCTGAACTCGAGCCCTCCTCAAGGAACCTTAATAAATCAAGTTTGATTGCCGTCATGCCCCGTCAGTCCTCCAAGTGGATCAATGACCCAACACAGTGGGTGGATATTGCCCTTCTGGACACTGATACATATTTGATCGTTTGGATAAGTGTTGCCTGTAAATAACCAGCCTATTAGTAGCCAACCGTTGGCTGAGCTGAGATTTGGTTGACAGTCTGATGCTGCTATAACAGTATGACTGTAACACAGCAGCCTTCGAGTCAAGCTAACGTTAGCTAGCCATCAGTAGCAACTGTCACCAGCATCATGTAGCGATGTTCCATGCTGACAGTAAATATTTACCCATCTTGTGCCTCAAATCTCAGTATGAAAGCCTCGGTTAATTCATTACACGATAGCCTTTTTGCGTTTTCCTGTTTTTCTTGTGACAGTACACTTCTTTCTCCCAAAAGAGGGCGTGGCCTTGGCATTGATGCGATGCCAATCTGGTCTATAGCACATATATAGTTTAAAATGGTAACGGTGGCAAGCTACCGCTCTTTTTTTTTTTAACAATGGGTCCTTGATTTTAAACAGAGGTAGACAAAAGCAAGTTTCTCTAATTGTAACACCAAGTTTTTCAATCGACAACTGTCTGACATTAGCTTATTCTATTGTAGAAAGCTAGCTAATTATCGTTAGCTTCATGGCTGACTTATTTTGAAATAAGAGCCCTAAATATTAATGGCTGTGCACGTGATATAATGCTAAAAGACTTTATGCTAAAGCTACAAGTCCCAGGCAAAAGTCTGTTCAGCTAATAATCCATGTGCAAGACATGAATGTAAAGTATTAGCTTGAATGCCAACTTCCCGACATTAGCACAGATCTGCTAACATTGGATTGACCGATATAGAAGCATCCAGAACCACCTCCTTCACGGTGGGTTAATACTCAACAGTGGATATCCCAGTCCTGAAGGGGGCTTATGTTTTTGGTTTTGGGAGGTCAAAAAAAGGTGCCATACTCTTAACTCCTTGGATATCAGGCAGCGTTTTTACAACAGCCCAGTGCACATGTCGAGAAATCCAAAGCTTGACACATCCGTCATGTCTAGTTAGGATTGCTACAGTAAGCTATGATTGGACAATCACTGTTCGGGGAAAGGGTGTTAGCAAATGATCACTTACTTTTATCTGGTTGTTAATGAATCCCAATGACTTGTCTCAGCAGAGGACAATAAGGGTCAAAAATTACTTAATGCACCTTTAGATTGGGATGGTTTTGGCCTCACAGATGCTATTTTCATTGTTTTCTCCCCTAGTAAAGACAGAGTTCCCTTCTTGATGCATGATCATAACTTTTCCGGGTTCTTGCTAAGAACGACAGACGTTAAAGAGAAGTTCCCTGACGCAGACTTCAGCTACAGCAGCAACCTGACCTGGGAAGAACTACAGAGTCTGAATGCAGGCGAATGGTTCCTAAAGGTGAGGGCTGTGCTTTGACACATGCTTGTCCACACACTCACTCACTAAAATTTAAGCATTATCATTCAGCTCACTACAGTTACAGTTACTATTATTTGCCTCTCCAGACAGATCCTTTCCACACAGTGTCCATGCTCTCCGAAGAGGAGAGGGAAACAGCCAGGAACCAGACCATACCGTCCTTACTCGAGCTCCTCGACCTCGCCAAGCAGCACAACATCTCAGTGATATTTGACCTATATAGTCCTGAGGAGAATGACACAGTGGACACAGTCAACACTATTCTGAGTTCTGGCATCGACCCAGGCCTGGTAAATCTATTTCCAATCCCTCTGATGGAATTTATGATATCTCACGATAAGGCGTATTTTGTTAAGGTGTTGTTTATTTCTTTTTATAGATCCTCTGGCTTCCTTCAGCAGAAAGAGAATATGTACATAAGACTGCTCCAGGCTTCACCCAGGTCTATAACAACGAAAGTGATTTGCCTATCGAAGGAGGGGGCCACTTGAATGTGAAATACAGCAAATTAAGTACAGAAGAAATCAGGTAAAGAAATAAATATAAATCAAAATATGATCATAACGCCTGGTTCCCAACAAGGGGTTGCCAAAGCTTCTTGGGGTGGGGGTCGTAATGCCGTCTTGATTTTAAGGTTTGTAAGACGACTTTTTAAAGCTGTAATCTCATATTTTCATTCATTTCTATGAAGAAAACTAAGTTGCAATTTTTAGAGTTTAAATTATAATTTAAGACAGGGTTCTTCAATGTTTTTCAGGCCAAGGACCCCTTAGCTGAATACATATAGTGTACAAAATTCAAATCTGAATGATCCTGAAGTTTATTTCCTGAATGATAAGTTAATTAATAACCTAACTTAGTTAATGAGTTAGGTTTCCTGTTATAGATAAGTGCTGCACAGTGATTTAGCAGCCAGCTCACATGATTGCACAAGGATTTATGGGTAACAGTTAGCATTGATCATTGATCATTAATGCTGTCTACTGTAAATTTTTATATATATATGAAAAAGCAGATTTATCCTTTCTACTAACTAGAAGTTGGATTGGATAAATGTTGGATTTATGTTAATGTTTTATATTTTTTGGAACAAAACAACAACAACAAAACTTTAATTGAAACTTGAATTAAAAATTAAAAATACAAAGAAATGGTGCCCGTCCTGCAGTAACTCTGAGGACCCCCTAGAGTCAAGCAAAAAAATCTCACAGGATAAGGGCACAGTGAAGAGCTGAATACAAGCTACATTGACAGAGCCTTTACTCTCTACGGAACAGCCTTGTCCTGCATAAGAAAAGTGTGCAGTTAGTAAAACCACCAAAAAGCTAATACAGCAATGGCCAAGCATCAGAGAGAAACCTCATCTCTAATGTAATATTCACAGTAAACAATCTGCTCAAAATTTATTCAAATTGCTGATTTTAGTGTGTTCATTATTTGGGTTAATTGTACAGTTTATCTGTCGTACTGTACTGAGCTGAAATATCCATAAAATATGTCACTTAGCAGGGGTTCTCAGTCTGCCTAATGATAGAAAAGCAAGCGGTCCTTTAGGGAAAAAGGAGGGAGCCATTGTGGCAGTGCCAGGAGGCATGCACAGTAGTGTGTTAATTAAAATGTGTGTGTGTGTGTGTGTGCGTGTGTGTGTGTGTGTGTGTAGCATGCTGAGACACAGTGCTGGTGCTGAATATAGAGGTGTAGACTCGGCCTCCAGGGAAAGAGATTAAAATAATGTCCCAACCCAAGAGTGTTGTTCAATGGATAAGCGAACACACCTTTGTAAATTACCAAAGAAATACATGCAGTGTACCGACATGTTTGGAGAAAGTGCTGAAGTGCTGTATTCAGAGTTAAATCAACACATTGCACCTGGACTGCTGTCCTTGCCTTATGACACAGGCTTCTTCCCCATGAAACTACTCACTGGGCAGCACAGGTTAGCAGCACTGTTCACACATAAACACATGTAATCTCACACCTTTTGATCACATTAGTTTGCTCAAAATGAAATGGTGTGTGCGATACATGTGTGGCTGGGATCATGTTGCTTGTGATGGCAGGGTGGGTGCACTGTATGTATGTGTTTTTTATCCCTGTCAGATGAACTACGTTATATGATTTGTATATTTCATTCATTATGGTATTCAAACAAATGCAAAAATGATCTAATACAATGGTTTCTGGCCTTTATCCTGTAGGGACCGCTTTTCTATCATTGGGTAAACTGATGACATCTGACTAAGTGACATATTTTATGGGTATTTCAGATTATAGTCAATGCATAACAATAACAGTACGGAACAAGTGTATTAATTTTGAGCAGATAATTTTCCGTGAATGTTATATTGAAGTTGAGTTTTCCCAATATTTTTAGAAACTTTTTTTTAATCTTTTTATTGACAGATCTTAAAATTATGGTGCAGGAGCAGTAAAAAGAAAAAGTAAAAGGACAAATATACTTAACCAAAAACAAACCAGACCCAAAAACACACCCACACAAAGCAAAAAAATTAAATAAATGAAATATAAGGACACTATTCCTTAAATATATACAGAGAGGATGTACTAAAACTAAATCATAGGACATTTTGACATAGAAAAATATCAATTAATTCATGAATGGATCATAAATGATATTTTTAGAAACTTTTAATACAATTATCTGTTTTTCTTCTTACATTTTTTTAAAATAATTATGCATTCTTTAAAAAAGATCAGTGTTGTCTCTTCTCTGACGCTTGACCATAGTTCTTTTGGCTCTTTGATTGTTTGTGTTCAGGCCCTCACTGTGCCCTGATCCTGTGAGAGTTTAAAATCTAAAACAATAATCCACACTTTAAAAATAACAATTTCATTTTGTTTTCTTCATAGACATGAATGAAATGCTGAGATACAGGCCTACTGTTACTGTCCATCTTACACTCTTAAATCAAGAAGGCCTAACATCCTTCCATAAAACTTTGGCGACCCCTAGTGGGGGTCAGCACCCACAGGTTGGGAACCAGAACTGTAATAAGTAAATCATGTAATACTGACAAAAAAGGTGGAGAAGACAACATCCACATACCCACAGGAGCATAATACAAACATTCACATGCACATATAGGTGCATACTTACATCCACCCTCTTACATATAGATAAAAACATAGTGTATGCAGATACACACCATATTTACTGTCCTGCTTTCCGCAGATTCATGTCTTTCAATATGCTACATCTCTCTTTATTTATCTATAGAAAGATCTACATTTCAAACCCTGTGTTTGTATCTGCCAGGGATCATCGGAGCAGGAACGTTACAGTGAACCTGTGGGTGGTTAATGAACGTTGGCTGTTCTCTCTGCTGTGGTGTGCGGGGGCCAGCTCTGTTACCACCAACTCCTGCCACCTCCTAAAAAAGATGGAGCAGCCTGACTGGGTCATGGTGAGCGATACAGTAGCACATGCTTTACCTCCCTCTCTGTTCATTTCACTATCCGGCATCAAACACCATCAGTTGAAGACATGGGTGGATTATGAGACAGTGGGCCCCTGGGCACAGATATCCAAAAGGGCCCCCATCACCTCTCCTACACAGGAGCAACACACATAGTTTTTGCATCTCTTGGTCATTGTTATGCATTTTTTAGTGGTTTTGTGTCTCATGGTGGTCATTTTGTGTCTCCTTGAAGTTGTTTTGTGTCTTTATGTGGTCATTTTGTGTCTCATGGTGGTTGTTTTGTGTCTCCTTGTAGTTGTTTTGTGTCTTTTGGTCATTTGGGTCTTGTTAAAGTAATTTTGTGTCTTTTTGGTCATTTTGTGTCTCCTTGTGTTGTTTTTTTTAGTTTCTTTTGTGTAATTTTGTGTCTTTTTTGTCATTTTGTGTCTCTTTGTAATAGTTTTGTGTCTCTTTGTGGTTGTTATGTGTCTTTTTGTAGTCATTTCGGTCTCTTTAAAGTAATTTTGTGTCTTTTTGGTAATTTTGTAGTCATTTTGTGTCTTCTTGTGGTTGTTTTGAGTTTCTTTTTGGTAATGTTGTGTCTTTTTGTTGTTGTCTGTCTCTGTGTAATTGTTTTGTGTCTCTTTGTGTTTGTTTTGTGTCTTTTTGTAGTTGTCTAGTTATCTCTAAGATAATTTTGTGTCTTTTTGGCTGTTCTTTGCATCTCTTTATGGTCATTTTGTGTCTTCTTGTGGTTCTTTTGAGTTCCTTTTTAGTTGTGTTGTGTGTCCTTGTGGTTGTTTTGTGTCTTTTTGTCGTCATTTGGGTCTCTTTAGGATAATTTGGTGTCTTTATAGTCATTTTGTAGTCACTTTGTGTCTCCTTGTGGTTGTTTTGTGTCTTTTTGTAGTCATTTGGGTCTAGTTAAGGTAATTTTGTGTTGTCTCGGTTATTCTGTAGTCATTTTTGTGTCTACTTGTTGCATCTCTTTGTGTTCTTTTTGTGTCTCTTCCTAACTGGCACATGTTAAATTGAGTGACTGTTTTAAGTGAAGACCAGGGGGACCCTCTAACACTTTTGGCCCCTGGGCCTGCGCCCGGTAGGCCATTCAGTAATCCACTCATGGTTAAAGTGCTCCTTTTAGAGCTGAAAAACTTGTATGAGTGTTTTTCAAAATATGTGATTGACCCTTTGGACATGTTTGTGTGTTACAGTCACGTCTTACATACACAATAATATGGATTGCAGTGGACATTACATCTATTCTGATAATGGCTGGACTCTACATCTGCCAGTGGTAAGCGGAGCAGATGTTTGCTGTGCATACATGTTGTATATAAATGTCTATGAAAGTAAACAGATTGACTCATTCATCTCCACCTCACTGTTTCCACCAGGAAAACACATCACAGGAATCGCAGCAGAGGTACGTTTGGATTTGAATATCTTTACGTGAGGTCTGCAGACAATGATTGTTTTCATTGTTGATTAATCTACTAAATTATTATTTGGGTTTGATGATGCTAACTCTGTTACTGAAATGGATGTGTTAGCATTTACAAATGTATTAATTCATGTGTTTTAATAACTTTGTCGTGCCTTTACACAGGGACAGAGAATATTTCAGCCTGGAATGAAAAAGAACTGTTTCCCTTCTTACCCATCAGGTAGCTCACCAGACTCCAGCAGATTTTCTGCCCCGACCTACCGCCTTGTCAGCACTGACTGAATGGTTTGGACCTAAATCAGGAAGAGAGCAAGTTAATGTGAATAACCATACACTGTGTTTTCAAAGCCATGAAAAAATGAAAATGTTTTTTTTTTTTCAAGAGGCACTGTGCCACTGGATGGCAGTTTAACTTTTTTATTTTTTGTATAAGTCTAACTGGTTAACTGGGTTTTAATCGTTCTTCTGTTGCTACTGAAAGTATGAAGCTTTTCTCTGATTGTATCTATGTGTAGATCTGCACTGGATTTCCTTTTGGCACTGTGTCATTTTATGTTGTTTTATTCTGTTGTTGTTTTTTCAATTTATTACATTTTTTTTTATTCATGGTGTCATCACTGCAGTTAAGATGTGTATCTACTGTAACCTGAGCCAAAAGCATTACAACTATTTTCTACACTGTCTTGTGTCTGTGTATTTAATCCTCAACTAAAGAAAAAAATATGACTGGCCAGCTATATATACTATGAGTGATTCACACATCTAGTAACAAGAAAAAAAAGAAGTTCAATTCCAGTAAAAACAAAGAAAACAACAGTGAAATAGAATAAGAATTATTATATACTGTGACAAACCTGCTCATTAAGTGTCAGAAAATGAAACATATGCAATAAAATGTAAGAAAAATATGACAAAGCCATGAAACAATATATACAATGGTACAACTTCATAGCACGCATTAAGTACAAATATTTATATAAAAAATAGATTCATATTTTCATTTGCAATTTCTTTAAATGTGTTTTTTCCCCTAGTGGGTTACACCAATATATCATGTGATCTGTGTCATATGACCGCTACATGAGTTTTTAAATTGTACCCCTGATTTAATATAATAAAAAAATATAAAAAATATATATATGTAGGTGAAAACAAGCAGCATAAACCTCAGAAAGGCATTATAACATCCGTGGTTTCTTGTTTGTTTATGTAATAATTAGGTATCTTTCCAATATATCTTTTGCACCCCAGTTTTCATTTGCTAGTTGCTGTTGTTGATTTTGTTTGCAAAACAATAGGCCTCAAATTTTTGGCACTCTGCTTTTATAAGAAATTCTTGACACAACAAATGTAAAATTAAGATAAGATAAGACTATAGTAATTCCATACAGGGGAAACTCACATGTTAAAGCACCTCAATAGTCAGAAGCAAGAGAAAAAAGGTATAAAAAAAATATTTGAGTGATAAATAAGGATAGAAATATGACAAAAATACAGATTAGATAAAATAAAAATAATGTCTAATCTATATACACTAGGGTCATATATCTACGAAAAATTTAATTCCAAAAATATATACCAGTATATACATTTGAAATGTTGTCATAGAGCTTATTTAACACTGAGAATAAGACATCAAATGGGACTGGCATCTGACCATATTGCTCATTTGCTGCCACAGAACCACTGGCACTTTTATGCATGTTAGTTTTATCCATCTAACTAAATAAGTTAAGTTACTGGGTTAACCAGTTGGGTGTAATCAGTAACAGGTTGTCTTTATTTGTTGATGTTACAATTAAAAAAGATCACTCGTCACTGATAGAAATTCGGATGTCAATGACTTGTGGCTGCACATGATAATTATAATACACACTGGACAATATATAAATACTACTGTACAGTAAGTGGTAAAATATTGCACAGTAGGAAATTGCATAAAGGGGTTATATGTACGACTACAAAAACATAGTGCTCATATGATCTGTATTAAATATGTTAAATACAGATCATATGTTCGTTGCTGATGTCACTGAGATATTTTTCTGGGTTTTTATGGGATGTCAGTTGTTTGTACCTTTTAACTTGCACTGTGTACAGTTGTAGCTTTTATCATTGATCCAGTCCTATAATAATAACTAATGTAACAGTGACAGAGCCCATCTTGCCTGAGTACTACTACGTTTTACTTTTTTTATTTTAGCACACTTCATGAGTAAAACTTGCACTTTTTTTCAAATGCAGGACTTTTACAAGTAAAAGTCCTGCATTTGAAAAAAAGTGCTTTTCCCACCACTGACATGTTAAATTACATTAAAGTGTACTGACTTTGCATTTCACTCTTTTATCATTGTCAGACTCACAATAGACAGACAAGAAATTCAACACATTCTTCTCCCTTGTCAAAATCAAGGGAAATATCACATTTATATATTTATTTTACATCCATGTATTTTATATTTTGTTTGGTCAAGCTGGTAAAAACCTGAGTCCTACATTACCCATGATGCAACTCGACCGCCGACAGTTGGGTCGGAGATTCGGTTCGGTTAAGCTAGCAGCAGCTAATGTAGCCTCGTATGGAAAGCAGAGATAAGGCGGTGCCGAGGTTCGGTAAGCTCACTTCTTTCTAACTCAACACTATTATTATTTTTAATTTTCAGACCTGTCGTCTTCAGCCATGGATGCCTTCAGTCTCCAACCAGCGCTGATTCACTTGAGGCATTTTATCAGACTTCGCTCAGGCTCCCTGTGAAGCCACAGATAGCTCCATGCAACTTTAATTTTCCCATACATTGCGAGCTAGCTGTCCTTTAGCCGTTAGCAACCACTAGGTGGCACACGATGCAAACATTTGGAAAAGAGGCGACTGACGGGAGATCAGAGAAAAATCAAACACAGTAAAAGAGGTTTCATCAACTGATTGATCACCAATGATGATGTCATGCAACAGATAATGTAAGCTAACAGCAGCTAGCATCGTTTGAGTGTGATAATATAGATGTTACAGTGTCCCGGTGAGGCTGAGAGCCACGGGGCCGTTTTTCATGGAGGCGAGGCATGTTTGTGAGGGGAGGAGAAACATGTCACGCTCCGTGGTGCCGTTTTGCCCCAAAACTTCTGGAAAGTTGACATGAAGTAAACAGTCTCCTCCTGTCACATCTTAACCCCTGTGTGTGGGTGTGGAGCACTGCAGTAACACTCAGACAGACGGGGAGTGTCCAGCGACTGGATTTAAAACTCTACATGTTGCTTGTTTGTGAAGGAGGAGCGACACTTTTGGTTGTATAATTACCCGGGTCTATTACTGCAATTATTTTCTTCAGAGAGAAAAAACACAAAAGTGTATTTTAAACGACTTTTATGGAGTTGGCAACACCATGGTGCATAAATATGGTAAGTACCGTTAGCGTAAGGTAACGTCTCCTTCACGTGTCAGAGTTTTTGTAGTAAATCTCGGTTAAAGTTGAAGTTTTAGGTTAATGCCAGCTTTGTAGTTGAGGAAAGTTTCCGCACGACTTTCCACTGGCCCATTAACCTCAGCTTTAATCCCAAGAGAAACAAGTTTCTTTTTTTGCCCTTAAGGAATGGGAAAAAAAAGGTAAAAAAGAAAATACAGTAACTGGAAATTGTGCAACTTCCGGGCAGCAGTTGACTGTTTTGAGGCTTTTCTCGATCAAAATGTTCAGGATCAGGTAGGAAACTGTCAAGTTGTAGATTTACCTCGGTGATCATCTCTGTGCTGTGTTCCTCACCACCCACCGGGTTCAACAACCAGCTGTACAGTCGTGTTGCAAAGAGAAAAATACCTTTAATGTGCTCTGCAGGGGAATGTAACAAACAGCAGTGTTGCATTTGCCTATAAGTCACATAGAAATCATCCTCATTATATCATATATGCTTTAAAATCATATATGTGCACTTAACCGTGTATCTGTGATAGTCACACATGAAGTTATAGCTTCATGCATGATGGTACTTTATCTTCAGTGACAAGTCTGTAGGAGTTCTGCATCAGATTATTGTTTAGTTATTCGCTTTAGATTTTAAAGCTGACAGAAAATAGATTAATGGTCTATTTTTTGAAGCAAAAATGGCACTCATTCTCAGACTACATCTCCTTAAATGTAATTTTCTTAGTCATGAAACTGAACATTCTTTGGTTTTGGATTGTTGGCTGGACCAAACTATATATTTAACAATGGCACCAAGGCCTGTGGGAACTTGTTACTGTAATTTTTCACTATTTGCTGACATTTTATGAAGCAAACCATTAATCAGGGAAATTATAGAGTAATTGATAATAAGATAGTTGCAGCCCTAACACATTTGAAAGGGTATCTCGTCATATATCGGATGAATCATTTTTATTTCGGTTACATACATCCTGAGAAACAAAGATTATTTCACATAAATGTTCTCACAGTCAGTAACCGAAGCTCAAGGCTTCAACCTTTTCCTTTTGTTTTCATTTTCACATCCTTCCCATGGATCAACTGCCTTTCAAGAGCAATGCAATAAATATTAATTGTAACCCAAGTTCATAAGAATATTATTAACCCTGTCAGCAATGACTGCCAAGATATGCTTTATTAATTTTTCTTTAACCTGTTTAACCAGGAAGTCCCTTGAGATTAAAATCTGATTTTGGAGGGAGACCTGGCCAAGACTGCGTGCCATTACAAGGTTACAGAAATTATAAAATACAGCATGTCAAAAACAGACAACAGACAATCAAAACAGAGCAAAAAATCGAGTTCAGAAAAGCAATTGCACTCTTTGGTTTCATATTTTCTTTAAATCAGAGCTTTGAACTCTCCCAGGGAGACAGAATCATGAAGCTGTAGTGTGTTCTGAGGGTTATTCCATTACCAGGGTGCAAATAGGAGAAAGCTGTTCTGCAAAATAGGAGCGTAGTAGTATGTATGTATTTCCTTTGCTGCAGTTGTCCTGAGACATGTATTTCCTTTGTGAGGCAGACACAGAGCGAGCGGTGGGGCTGCTAAGGCGCTACCAGGCCAACCTAACCAGCCCAGAGGAGCAGGCCCTGAAGACCAGCGTGGGCAAAGTCTCCTCCATCTTAGGCAGCCAGCTGTTCCATGCCCTTCTGGGTAAGAAAAACACAGTAAACCTGCTCGTTTTGCAGAAGAGCGTCTTTCAAAACTCTCCACTATAGCTTGAATTACACCATAGTTTTCTCAGGGTGGACTTCCTGTTCACACCCCCTTCTTTACGAGTAAAGGAGACAGTTTGAAGCTTGATATTTCATGGTTTGCTGCAATCAGTTGTCTCAGTCATTAAGTGCCGCCTTTGATTTATGCTGTCATGTGGTTTGCTGCCGACGCAGGATGTAGACTTGGTCAGGTTGTATTAATTTGTATGGCAAGTTAACTGGGTCTAAATGTCTTCCAATTAAGTTTTATGAAAGAGGCCTTTCAGCTTGCCTCACAGAGGTTGCTGTATGCCCCCCCCCCGTAACATATACACATTGTAAAGAAATCCCAATAAAGCCAGCCACAACACAGTCTATCTATAGACTCAGTTATTATAAGGTCAGACTTGTCACACTGTGAAAGCACGATTCTTCCCTTGACTTTGCCAAAATGGCCTCTTTTGTACCATGTACTTCATGAACTTATGTCAACATGGAAACAGTTGATTCACCATTACCAGCAAGTGATAGTACTCTACTAAAACTGCTGCTGACTAAACTGATATCTCTGCTCCTGAAAGCATCCTGAAGTGTGCGTAGCTCTGACTGAAACTCATCTGAAGAGTCACTATTAATAATGAGGTACACCTTCATGGCAAGTATGATGTTTTTGAAAAGAGCTCAAGGAAGCCAATATGAATCTCAGTTCCTTTTCCAGCAGATAAAGCAAATTACTTCAGTTTAATCAACAGTTGAGTGATCCTTCTAATTACCACAGCCATGTTATAATGATGCTTGCCCTTGGGTCTGCTTTTGCTACTGCTAACCCACTGCTGGGTAGCTGCGGGGGAGGGGATGCTCAGGCAGCAATTGAAGAAATACAGTATCATGGTTTTGCCAGTGATGCGTCTGAAGCAATAGTGAACGCACTTTTATCATATATCTTTTTCTATGTCTGATACGCTCAGCAACACACCAGATAATAAATCTGAATGATATAGAGCAGCTTTCATGCATGAAGAAAGGATTTGTTACTGTTTCTGCTTTTCTCCAACACAGTGATGTCAGCGGTGTATTCCATCATTCACAGTCCATAATTCATAACCACATGTATGTCTTAACAAGTCCCATTCAAAGGCTTCTTCAAATGCAGCAGAGATATGCAGCCCACTAGGACACAACTGGTGCAGCTTTTATGGCTTTTGGTATCCAGTGTTAAGACCCTCTTCATCAACTTGTAAATAATAATGAATGGTGTTGCGCTGCAGGTGGTCATTGGCTAAATAGGTTGAATGAAATGGTCCAAAAAAGCCTCTAAAATAACTGAAGCCAGACCAAAATACCATCTCGTGTTCTTGTTAGAAGCCTGGACACGTTAATCCATTAATGTTACAGATAAATATAAAAAATGGATATATATACTTTTAATTTGTGTCACTGACAACCCCTTGTCCATCCACCCTCCCAGAGGGCTCCAAACTTAGGTATGATTGAACCAGTTTATGACTAATATTTATAATTTTTGTGACTTTTTGCATGCAACTTTGGGGAATTTATGATTTGCAACTGCCCAGTGCATCATTGCCTTCAACCCTTTAAGTAGCCAAGAGGTGGTCAATCTGTTACTGGTAAATGTAGGCCCTTGTCCGTTGAAGGAGAGGTTTAGGACGTACTGTAGCTATTGTGTTGATCAAAAACACTAATGCAGGACAGATGGTTGTGATCACAGTCTTAAATCTGAAGGTGGGTCTTCCTACTCATTGTGTCCCATGCTGATACCCCAAATCAAGAACATTTGTAGATATAATTGTTTTGGGTTTAAATTGGTGATTGTTTCTCGTATACTAAATGTCATCGTAGATAAACCATATTTGTATGGGTGGATTACAAACGGGCCTACCAGGCCCAGGGGCCCAAGGGCCCAAGGGCTCAGGGGTCCGCAAAGTAAGTGTAGCTCTTACATTTATTTCTATTCCTCCTTTTAAGTGTCCAAGGATTTTTTTTAGCCATGCTTGCAGTTTTGCTCTAGGGACGGCAAGGTTGGTTGTTCCACTACTTTGGCCCAGACTGAAATATCTTAACAACTATTGAAGTGATTGGCACAAAACTTTAAGACATAAATGGTCCCTAGTGGAAGACTACCAACTGTAGTGATCCTTTGATTTTAACTCCGGCACCACCAGCAGTTTGACAGTTTTGTTTTTTTGCGAAATGTCTTATCAATAATGTGATGGATTTCCATGAAATTCAGCACAGACATTAACAGTCACTTTGAGGATAAATGGGAAAAACATGGTTGATTCTCTGACTTTTCACACCACCATCATGTCAAGCTTCAAATTTGTCCAGTACTCTAGTAAACTATGACAATCCCATCAGCCTTAGCTGTACTTTGTGTTAAATGCTAATTAGCATATGTTAGCATGCAAAACTAAGATGGTGAACATGATAGACACTATACATGGACCTGCTAAACACTGCTAAAAGACATTAGCATGTCGTTGTGAGAATATTAGCACAGTGATGTTAGCGTTTAGCTCAAAGTACAGCTGTGCCTTAGTACAACCTCACAAAGCAGCTAGCATGGCTGTAGACTCTCAAAGTCAAGGATGCTTCCTTGGTAGGAAGGGTCCTTCCAAGTCAGGTCCTACAGAGGCTAGACAAGACTCCTTCCTAGGATTTGGAGAACACAAAATGGAAAAGTCTAGCAAGTGTGCAGGTGTGCGTCATGGGAAAGGTCCCACCTTCAATTCTGCACTACATTTTCTAAATCAGTGGAAGAAATGTTTTGTTTGAGGGCAGTAACATTAAGACAGCTACCAAACTTAGCCTGTGCAATGACAGCTTTAGTTGGGTCTATTTCAGGAGGAATTTATAATGGCAACTTGTTTTACTTTGCTGGAACACATTTACCATGATAACCAGTTTACAAGGACACTGAAGATGCATACGCTAAAATGCATATTGCACCATCGGCAAGGCCATCACTTTGCTCTAGATCTGTGCCATTTTTAAAAAACAAGCACTGCAGCATACGAGCAGTGCATTAGTGCCCCTTTCTTATTAAAATCATAACAAACTTTAAATTTGGCATTGAAGATCTAGTATAACTGAGGATTTAGCAGCTGGATTGTCCATGTCTCACCTCAGATTTGTTCAGAAACATTTTTTGGTGGACTGTAGGTGAAATAACTAAAAGTTAAATAGCCTATTTTCCTTGTATCCAAGTCAGGGGCCACGACCAATGCATCATGCGCATAGGATTGTGGTTGCTTTAAGAGCACTGATGATACACACAGGCATCCTTGAAATTTCTCTGAATGAAGAAGTCAGCCCCTGGTAGAATTCATTGAATCCTAGAAGTCGGAACAGTTCTTCGACAGGATTCAGTTACGTAGCATCCTTGAAATGCTGCCATTTAAGAATCCTTTCTTGAGGGACCTTCAGTCTTGTTATAGGTCAGTTATATACTGGCTGGTCAAACTTCCTATTAGTCAGCTAAATGTAGCAGTTTAACAAAGGAGTGTCTTTTTGCATCAACACAAGACCTTTATGCTCACCATTTGTACCAGTTTAATCAGTATTATCGCCACCTTCTAGGTGTCATCCCCACTGAGATATGAATAAACCATGCTGAAGTGTCCTTGAGCAGGGCAGTGGTTACTTTCTACATCAGGTGCAGTTGGTAACTTTTATGAGAATACTTTTTTGTCATAGTTGCTGAAACTATTGCTACATCCACACAGTATGACATGAGACGGATCACGTTCCTCTTCCTCCCACTGCCTCTAATGGCATTTGTTTGAATCTACTTGGCAGCATTGATCAATCAAGACTCTGTCACTGTATTACCTATTTCTTGCTTAAAACGTCAGAAACATATTTTAGTGTACTGTTTAGCTGTAAAATGTTGAAGTTTGGGGCGTCGGTGGCTAGAGCAGGTGCCCCATGTATAAGGCTGTTGCCGCAGCGGTCCGGGTGTCCTGTCCTGTCCATTAAAGGCAAAAACGCCCCAAAAATATCTTAATAAAAAAAAAAAAAAAAAAAAAAAAAGTTGAAGTCTTCTGACCTGGTCACCATGAGAAAAACAGTCGAGCTGAAATGAAGCATTGCCGACAGGCCAGAGCCAAGTCTCTCATTTTACAGCTAAACAGTACACTAAAATATGTATCTGAAAACATCTGAGTTCACGAGCAGTGATTGACATGATTGACAGCTGCATTAGAGATTCAGCTCTGATTGATTGTTTTCATTCACGTGCAGCAATGCCATTATCTCACTAAGAGAGGCAAAGGAATATGATTTTTTGCCGTGTGGATATACTGACAGTTTCAGCAAATATGGCACAAGTAATTTTTATGAAAGTTACCAACTGCAGCTTTAACTTGTGTCTTCTTTGGGTGCAAATGAAGTCTCTTAGTATTGGCACAGTGTCACATAATATGTTGATAAAACATTTTTATTAGACATTACTCATGTACCTCTGTAGAATATATGAATGGTTTAAATAGCATGGTGCCAGGCACAATTATAGTTCAATAACTATTGATATCACATGTAATGTACCTTGTTGTTTATCTAAGTGAGGGAGACTCAGAGAGTCGCTTTCCAAATCAGGATTCCAAACATTCCTCACAAAGAATGTTCAATCAGGACCGAGCCCGAGGCAGACAGGAAAATAAACTGCTCTTGGCCGTCATGCCAAGTCTCTGCTGCAACTCTCCTGGCTCTGTGTATCAGAGTGTGAGGGTCGAGGAAGAAGAGGACTGTGGTGGCCGTGTCTCAGGTGCACGGCTTGGTTCAACACGTGGTTCTCATCAGGAAAGGCAGAGTGGAGGAGCAGCCGGTTCACAGCACTAATAGGAATACAGTGCTGTATAAACATTACTCATCCTCTTATCCTGTCCTGTTGTGTTTGCCTTCACATGCTCAGGGCCATGTGAACCATTTCCATTTTTG